CAGCAGGCCAGGCAGCATCAGAGGAGCAGGAAAGCTGACGTTTCGGGTCTGGATCCTTCTTCAGACCTTTCTGAAGAAGGGTCCAGACCCAAAATGTCAGCTTTCCTGCTCCTCTGATGCTGCCTGCCCTGCTGTGTTCATCCAGCTCTACACCTTTTTATCTCAGACTCCAGCATTGGCAGTTCCTACTATCTCTAAGAGGATATGCTGACTGAGTTCGATGATGTACAAGAGGGACAGGAGCAATCTTGTGTGGTGCACACACACCAGCATTGGCCAGTTGGGCTGAACGGTCTGGATTGACTTATGAGTGCTTAATGTGATGTGCTTTGGGATATCTTAAAGTGCTATAGAAATGCATCATTGTCCCACCGGCAGGACAGACCCAGCAGAGGGGATGGCACTGTGGTACACAGTCAGGAGGGAATTTTCCTGAGTGCCCTCAACATTGACTGTGGACTGCATGAAGTCTGATCTGTTCAGGTTAAACATGGGCAAGGAAACCCCTGGATGGTTACTACTGAGTGTGATGGGATACTCCCCACTTGCCTGGATGGGGGCAGATCCAACAACACTCAAGAAGCTCGACACCATCCAGGACAAAGCCGCCCACTTGATTGGCACCATATCCACAAACATCCACTCCCCCCACCACCGACGCTCAATAGCAGTAGTGTGTACTATCCACAAGATGCACTGCAAAAATTCAAAGATTCTCAGACAGCACCTTCTAAACCCATGACCACTTCCATCTAGAAGGATAAGGGCAGCAGATACATGGGAACACCACCCCCCTGCAAGTTCGCCTCTGAGCCACTCATCATCCTGACTTGTAAATATATCGCCGTTCCTTCAGTGTGGCTGGGTCAAAATCCTGGAATTCCCTCCCTAAGGGGCATTGTGGGTCAACCCACAGCAGGAGGACTGCAGCAGTTCAAGAAGGCAGCTCACCCCCACCTTCTCAAGGGGGCAACTAGGGACGGGCAGTGAAATGCCATGATTGAATTTTAAAAAGTCTGTAGCCTTCATTGTAACCGATCTCTGTATGGGGTATCTGGTGTTCCGGTGAATTTAACATTTGTCTGAAAGTCAGAAACCCAACAGTGAACACAGCTGCAGCCTCACACCTTGTGTCTGTGTCAAACTGATGTCTCAGAATGGGACGGAGCCTGCACAGAGGAAATAACACATGGTTCCTGTGCTGTATTGGTGTGTGGCCAGTGTCTCTGATATGTGCTGTGGGACTGCGATATCTCTGCCCCTCATGTGAAGGGGTCTGGGTCACTCCCTCTCTACAAGAGATGGTGTCTTCACCAGTTAGAATGTATTGCACCTCACGCTCGGACAGTGAGTCTGTGTGGATTTCAGCCAAATGAAACTGACTGCCACCCTCACACTACAGGGACATTGCACAAGTCACATCGGGTCAATCTGACCCATCCGTGTGGGAAGCCATTCCAATGAGGTGTTGGACGTCCTTTAACCACTCCCCTCCAGGGGCAGCCTTGACCTATTCCAGTTTAGCATGGTCAGTTCACACTGTAACCACGTCTATCTTGAGAGAACACTTCAAAATCCAGCGCTGACACACCATGTACCTGAGGCTGTTTGTCCAAATTCCAGAAATGCTAGAGATTGAGGCCAGGCAATACCCAATCAAAGTAAACAAAGGGGAATGAAAGTGGCAGAGGAGCTAAGCATTTCAGGCCTGACTGTGACACAGTTAGCTGTCAATAATGGAGCAGTAATACCCTGGTTACAAACCATTAAGTGACAGATGGGTGACAAAATCCTGGAACACGCTTCCCAAAGCACTGTGCATGGACCTACACCACGTGGACTGTACTGTCTGCCTCAAACAGGCGGAAAGAGTCAATTATCCCAAGGTTCGAGAAGGAGACTCAAGTTTGCTGTTTCGGGAATTGCAAGCCCAGGACTGCCCCAAACTTAAAAGAAGCTTCACTGAGAAACCAAGTCTCAAGCCAAGCAAATGAGGTCTGAATGAGGTCATCCAAGTCTTCAAGACATGAACAGGAAAAGGCAGGGGAGATTGAGATAAACCCGAAACACACTTCCACATATGGCAGTGGATGCAGGATCAGGTGTTAGTTTTAAATCTGAGATAGATACTTCTTTTTTTGTATGGCAAAACATGAAGAGATGTGGGCCAAAGGCAGGTCCATGGAGTTTGGACACTTCAGACATGATCTCCTTGAATGGTGGAACAAGCTTGAGGGGCTGAATGGCCTACTCCTGTTCCTATGTTATTGATTTTGACAAGACATCCTCTCCCCTGTGGTGCCCACAGTTTGTAAGACATGCAGTGAGTCAGCAAGACTTTGAGTTCTGGCTGATTTTATCCTATCCAAGAATGAGATGGTGAAAGATCTAATGTCTTGGGCAGAAATCTTTGTAGACACAATCAATGATCATTTCCTGAGACAGGATATTGGTAAGATAACTGGGACTGTGGGATTTTAACACGTCCCCTAGTTCTCTCTGAATGTTCATGTTGTGTGAGTATCTATCCAGCTGTGATCACAACCATCAGCCA